CTGGGGGGCCAGGCAAGTGACCTGGACTGAGAAGGCTGAAAGGCCGGACCTGAGCGGTCCCCAGCCCCAGGCCAGAGCGGGGCCTGGTAACCTGGGGAGGCGAGAAGGCTGGTCTCCAGTCCTGAGAGTGCGGAGGAAAATGTGGGCTCAGTCCACAGGTGGCGGGGAGATAAGGACCAGACCGTGAGCCCCCCCGGAGCTCCCAGGATCTGGCCCGGACCCTGGAGAAACCAGCTTCCAGCCGCCCAGCATCGGTGCGCGTGGGCGCGGTCTTTGCGGGCTCTGGCGCCCCCTCGGAGGAGAGTGACGCGCCGGGGCCCTACCCGACTCCTCTCCTGGAACCCCTGCTCTCCCGCGGGGCACCGGCACCGGGCTCTAATGAACAAAAGGCCAATTAGACGCTGGGGCGCGGCTGATGAATGGACCTTTCGCTTTCAAGCGTGGCACCGCCTCGGGTTTCCTGGCACACAGGGTCGCGCCTGGAGAGGCAGCCTCCCCAGAGGGGTCATGGCTGGGGTCAGCAGGTCCTCAAAACTCCCACTACCCCCTCTCTTCAGGGCTGGCTGGGGGAAGTAAATCCAGCCTCGAAGCCATCAGCACTGAGCCAAGCTGCCCAGCACCCCAAAACCAGGCCTTGGGAAGCTCTGGCTGAACCCTCTAACACCCTGTCCTCCCCCACCTGACCCAGGATCCACCGCTCCTCTGAGGGAGCACCCAAGTAAATCAAAGGCCGATGGCTGGAATAAAGGCCTAGCAGAAAAACAGGCAGTTACAAAATAAGGCGGTGGTTGCCAAAGTCCAGCCTGCGTGGTGCTGCGGGGACAATGCCCCAGGCGCGCCGTCCCTCCAGATGGACACTGGGCAGATCCTGAGACACTGAGGCCGCACTGCCCGGCCTGGACACCGTCCCGGGGAAGCCCCGAGGAAACACTCCCAGAAACACACACCCGAGCCCACTCCTGCCCTCTGAGCCCTCTGGGAGTCACCACCCTGCTGGGGAGTCACAGGGCCACGCTGCTGACCAGAGCCAGCCGTGGCGCCCCAGAGCTGGTTTCTACACCTTTGCAGCCACCGAGTCAAGCTCCATCTTCCTGTCCTACCTCAATTCAATCTGGAGGCAGAGAGAAAGCTGGACACTCTGACACTCAATCTACACAAGTCGCACTGGCCGCTGTGGCCACAACGCACAGTTAGCACAATTAGCACCTACACACCCCGATCGTCCTGCGTGGGCACACAGTGGCACCACCACACAAACACAACTGCTTTGCAGGCAGTCATGCACTCGACCACACACTCCGACACACAAGCACAACCTCTCACCCAAACTCACTTCCACAACCTCCTCTCCTCTTGCAACTGTCCACAAGCAGCAGCCCAGCCCAGCCCAGATCCCCCCACCTCCAAGTGGGGCCCTGGGCCAGGCCTCCGAGCCGCCAGAGTCCCTCCCCGACCGGCCTGTGCTTCCAGACTTTGTTTCCTGCGACTCGAGGCGGAGACGGGGAGGAGTCGAGGTTTCCAAGGCCGAGAGCAGGCCCGAGCCCCCTTTCTGCCCGGCCCGTTTGGCGCGGTTCTCCGCCCGCCACAATCCGCCCCTCGCACAAAAGTGGCCCGGCAGGTTCCGGGCGGCCGCCAGCGCTCCCGCTCCCGCTCGGCTCGGCTGCCAGGAGCAGAGTCGGTCGGCGGCAGATGGGGGTGCTGGACGCCCAGGACGGAGGCAGAAGCGGGTAACTGTCCAGAGGTCCAGGACTGCTCGCACCTCCCACCCACCCCCCTCCCCGAGTTTCTGGGGACTTGAAGCCCTCCCCAAGCCCTGTAACCCCCGCCTGCCCGGCCGGCCCTGGGCTGCTCAAAGGCACGGGAGGGACCCCAGGGGAGCACTGCACGCTGCGCCCACGTGCACCCCTCAGGAAGGAGACCGTCCAGGGCACGCTGGCATTTTACGCTGGGTTTGGCCGCTCCAGGAAACGCAACCCGAAAACGCACTGTTCTCATCTCCTTCAAGCCATTGGGCACGGGGACGCACAGGGGAGACCCACAAGTAACCAAGGACGCAGGACCAGGACGTGGATCAAACGTGTAACCTACATCTCCACGCGGGGTGAAGGCAAGACAGGCGACGCGCACGCAGCTGGCCAGCGCAGGGAAGAACCTGCCCCCCAACCCCGGCCCACAGGGCCCTGCCAGGGGCAGCCAGGCCTGGCACCCTGTACCACGGGAAAGCGCACAGACCTGGGGCACGCAGCTCCCGCCACCCTGCCCAGCCCGCGCGCCTGGCGAAGGGGACGCAGTCGCCAGGCACACGCGCCCGCACCCGGCCGGCGCCCCGCGCCCAGATAGTCATCGTGGGGTGGCATCTCGCAAATATTTATATTCCTCAGCGCCACGGCAGCCGCGTCCACATTAGACGCTCTAATCCTGCCACTTTAAATAGATGAATTAATAAAGCAAACGAGGGGCTAATAAGCTGACTGTCCTGCCTTTTTGAGGCGGGGGAAGGACTCGAAAGTGCGCCAAATTTGTTTGCAGTGGATCAAGGCGAGCCGCCTCTGCTTCACTTTCTTTATCTTAATTCCGACTTGAAAAGATATAATTATCTAGTTTGAACAGAGCTGCTATCAAATCCTTCTTTGGGCCAGGAAGGGGGGCGTTGGAGTGGATTGCGTCTCTCTGAGCCGCTCGGTGCAGCCCGAGATAGCGCGTAATGAAGATGTGGAGGCCTGAGATACAAAGGGCATTAACCTCATTAGCATGAAACCTTTTCTTCTTACCATTGTGGGACCCTTTCAGCCGCCTAATCCCCCCTATTTTCAAAGCTTGGTTTGTAATAAAGCTTTTAGGTTTTTTTTTTTCCAAAGCTAATAGTATTCTCTGATGATTTTATTGCTGTTACACTATATAGGACTTTTACCCAAAAAATCTTCATCACCACCCCCCCTTTTCTTGTACTTAAAACATAGACTACGGATGCTGCAGAAATAAGTCTTTTATCAAGATGAGAACCTTTTATTTTTTTTCTGGAAGGCCCGTCTGAATTTTTAACAGGTCTAGGCTTCAAGTTGGAGGCTTTCTGGGTTTGGAGAAGTGGCTGGAAGGGAAAGGGAACTTTTTCAAAGGAGCGCTGCAGCCTGGCGGCCTCACCACGAGGTCCTCCGGCCACTTCCATTGATAGAGAAACCTCCTGGAGGTCTCGCGGGCCAGGCGGCTGGCTGAAACCCCACTTGAGTTTCCAGGACACCTAAGGCAGCACCTGTCCCCTCCAGAGGCAAGCCTGGGTCTTGACTCCCCCTCACCCCAGCACCTTCCTTCAGCCAAGGCTCCCCCACAACACACACCTTCCCAGAGGAGTCGGGGGTGCGACCGCGCGCACCGGTGAACAACCAGGTTCTCCAGAGGAAGTGAGATGGAGAAAACAGGAGAGACAGGCAGACATAAAGGGGGAAAAGAGGAGAGAGAACAAGGATGGATTCTACTGAGGAAGAGAGGAGAGGAGGGCAAAAGAAAGAAAAATTTCCATAGGACCCTATAGTCCTCACACGTGCACGGAATGTCTAATCTTAACTTTTCAAGGCAGGATGTTAACAAAGCTTGTATTTTTGCCCTGCATTGTAACTTGGCCTTATCACAGTGTAAAGGGTGGGGAGATTGTCCTAAATTATGTCCAGGCAGCCCCCCTGGATCCGTGGATTAAGAGATTAAAGGAGACCACTGGGCAAGGCCTCCTCTTTCCCCTTCATATTCCTGGTATGATAATTGCTTAAACTGATTTGCACTTTCACAAAAGCTCACAGGACGCTTTGTAGCTCGAACAGAACAGACGAGGTTTCTCTATCAATGGAAATAAAACTGATTAATGCAGCCTATCAGGATAAGAAGCAAATGAAGCATGCAAAAACAACCTCGTACCCCCAGAAGGGGGAAGGGGGGGAGCTAAGTTTCCTCCAAGACTGGTTACAACTTTTTCTTTAATGTTAAAATTGAGAGTTGAAGGTTTCTCAGAATGCTTGCCTTATAAGGCTGCTGAGGCCCTTGGGCTCACCTTCTCACCTCCAGCATCTTAGCGTTGGAAAGACGAGAGGAAGAAGAAAGGATGGCAGGAGGGAGGGATGGAGAGAGAAACTTGTTCTTTGGGGGTTGAAGTTAGAAACAGTTGCTAAGTGTTTTCCCAAATCCTTGGGGAACATTCTTTGGTGCCAAACTATGTACAGATTTTTTAAAAAAAAAATAACTAGCGCTTCAAAGAAGTAAGCATGTTTAACCTGAAATTCAAACTAAATTCCCTCAGTAGGCTTTGTGATGAGCAAGATTGGAAAATTTATTTCCCTTCTGTTTTCTGAAAGATTTCCCCCTAATCCGCTCTCCTTTCCACCCTCATCGCTCTTTAAAATATCCAAGAATCCCTCAGTCTGGTCCTTTTGCGGGTGGGGTGCCCGGATTTCTTGAGCTTTGGGGGGAAGGACCACCACACTCAAATGGTAGATACCTTTAAAAAAAAAAAAAAAATTTCACCTCAGTTTCCCAAGACAACTACTCTGAGGGCATATTGATAAATCTTTATTGACAAAATATTGACATTGACATACTTCTTGGAAGTATATAGTGTGTTAGAATTCTAACAAATTAACACAAAACACAAAAATATTTACATTCTGGTATAGAAGACATTAAGGAAGCATTTGTCACTCTCTTTAGTAAGTCTATGATCTTGGAATAGAAACTCAGTGCTTGAAAACTTGCCGCCTTGTCCTACCACTTATCACCCCCGCTAACTACAGTCCTTCAGGTTTTGCAGTAGATAGATTTCAAGTTTGGAATGACCTTTACCATGAATGGCTGAACTCGGCCAATATCTCCAACCACTCAAAGGAGAAGTTTACTTCGTGGTTTTTAAGCCTCATGATGTTATTAGGAAAGGGAATGTCCAAGAAATATCAATTTAGGGGTTTTTCCAGCACAAATCCTGACTCCACTTGTGGGCACCCTCCCCCCACCACCCCCCAGCTCCCCAACCTGCTCCCCAACTCTCCATAAGAGGACCGCTATCGCTGAGCCTACTTCATTTAGCGTTCACAATCACTTTGACGTCAGAAGGTATCAAAAATTGTTTACAGACTGCACATTTCTCAAAAAAAAAAATCAAAAGCAAAAGCACACAGAACCTGTCTTTAAAAGGAAAAGAAAATTACAATTCGTTTTCTGTCTTTAGACACCATTCACCCAACAACTGCTACATGCATTTCAAGTTTTTGAACAGGTGTGGGATGGGGCTGGATATGGAATTCGATTGTTATTATTACTAATTATTTTTAAAGATGGGGGAAACACTGTGAAGTGCAAAAAAAAAAAAAAGTCCTGTGCCTGGTTGGGTTTTTTTTTCTTTTATCATCATATTATCATCATTTTTTAAAAATCGGACTGTGATAAACGGAATACCTGCTAATCACCTCGTCTCCCGGGCTGGTGTTTGACTGACAGTTCCCCTTGTCAGCGCGCCTTTCGCTTTGCCACATTGGGATCTCTCTCTCTCTCTCTCTCTCTCTTTCTCTGCCTCCCTCTCTCTGTCTCTCTCACTCACTCAGCTGCCTCTTTAGACGAGGGTTGCACGTCGATCGAGGAGCGCGTCCTCTGCCATCGCCGTGCGGGGATCGGGACCCCGGCCCTCGCCGCCCAAAGTCTGCGGTGCAGCTTCGTTCTCACTCCCTCTGCCCTGCTCCGTGAATGTGTGTGTGCTGTTTGGTTTTGTTTTGTCATTTTTTTCCTTCTCCTCCTCTCTCTCTCTCTCTCTCTCTCTGTTTTGCTCCGTGTTGTCCGTTTCTGGAGGGTTCGTTTGTGTTTTTAGTCATCTGAGGTCACATCTATTTCCTCGGGACTCGCCTGCTTGGTGGCGATTCTCCACCGGTTAATATGGTGTGTCCCTTTCTTCTTCTGTTGCGAATCTGAGCCTTCTTCCTCCAGCTTCTGTCTTTTGAACTTCGTCCTTCGGTTCTGAAACCATACTTTTACCTGCGGGCAAGAGGCAAATGGGGCGCGTTAGTTCCTCCACAGCGCCCTCCTACCTCGACCTCCTCCGCCTAGGCCAGAGGCAGCCTGAGCCGAGGCCAGCTTCCTATCCTGAGGGCCAGTCTCCCCACGGACTCCCGTCGGGGAGCTGACTTCCTAGCCTGTGGAAAGCGGGAAACCTGGCTCCCTGCCTTTCTGGGTCTCCCGGGGTGCCTTTCTCCCCCGGCAGGCAGCCACGAGTGCGCAGTACCCCTCTCACCTTGCTCACAGCCCACTAAGAACAAAAGTCTTACAAAGAATGGGCAACCTCTATTTCAAAAAGAGTAAAGATGGGGAAATTGTGAACAGGCATCTCCCTGGTTCCCTCTACCTAGCCAGCGCAGGAAAGACCTCATTCCAAGCTGCAACCGCTTCCTGCGCGGCCCAAAGTACTTTTTAATGCTGTTTCCCAGTGTTGCCTAAATATAGGGCCTCCTCTGCAGGGCCCGGGGCCCTGGGTCCGGCAGAGCCTGCCTGAGCTTCCTCCTCCCTGCCGGGACAGTAGCAGGTGAGCGCAGCCAGGGATGGGGGTGGGGGTGGTGCTGGAGGAAGCCAGGGGAGGTGGTGGGATTCCGGGACTTGGCTCTACCTTTCCAGCTAGGAAAAGAGTCTAAAAGTGAAAGCTTCTGAAAGATTATGGGGAAAAGGGAGAATAACAGAGAAACTAAGAACAGAACAGACGGAGAACCCTGTCTTTCCTCCCCGAACCAGCCCCAGGACAGGTCAGAGCCAAGCTCCCATCCAAGTCGCTTCAGCTCCCACCAGGGTGGGGCTGGTGGCTGGGCCTCCTCAGAGCAGCTGCTCCAGGTCTGGGGAGCCCTGACCAAGACTAGCTGCCACCATCACACACTGGGGAGTGGGTCCCCCTTCGGCAACCAGACGGTGACACTGTCCAGGCTTCCCAGCCGCGAGGTAAGGATGAGGGAAACCGTGACTGCACCTTCCAGGCCGCCGGGCCTGACCCGGCCGTGACAGCAGCACCCCAGACCCCTGAGGTCCTCCTCGGAACTCCCTCCTGGAGGCGGCGGGCCCAGGTTCCTGCGCGCTCTTTCCGAATGCCCAGTCCCCAAAAGTGCCCCATGAAAAAACCGAGCTGGAACAAGGCTGAGTTTAATTTGCTTTGAGTTTGCTAATTGAGGGGGAGGACGGTTCATTTCTCCCCGGCGCTCGCCCAAGGCGCGCGTCGGTGCGCTCGGGGCTTGACACGCACACAAAGACTCCAGGCAGCGTGCGCAGCGAGGCGGACAAAGACCACCTCCGCCTCGGCCATCCAGGAGGAATCAGCCAGGCCGCGCCTTGTGCCGGGCCCCGCACCAACCCGCGAGGCACTGCTCGGTTTTGTCCCAGGGTGCGTTTTAAAACAAAAGCCCCGACCTCTCTGCGCCTCCCAGAAAAAGTGTGACAACTTAATCTGCCCGAAAACGCTACAGTTTGCCGGGAACTTTGACCCGGTTCTGCAGCTCCAGGTACAGTAGAGCCTACTGTAGCCCTAAGCCTCCTCCTGGCCTCGGGGGCAGGCGGCCTCGGGCCAGCCTCAGAACCCCCGGGCGCAGGAGGGGTCTGTCCCTCCAGGCAATCCCTCTCTGTAGCTTCCAAGCTCCGTTTCTCTGTTTCACCTTCGCACCCAGGATGTGCCTGGTCTCCGCCTGAATCTCTGATCTCCTCAAGGGGAGTAACTGGAGCCGACCCGTGTGAACCCTGGGCCAGCGCCTGCGCACGGAATTCCCCCTTAACCTACTCCAGCCCGCTCCAGCCTTCCGTCCCAAACTCTCCCGACTCCTGGCTGTGCTCTCTCTTTTTCTGGACCCCAGCCGAGTAGCCAAAGTCACACCAAAAGTCTCACCAAAAGTCTCACCAAAAGTGCAGCGGCGTCTTAGCCAGGAGCTGTAAATCCTGCCCAGCCGGACAGAAGGAGCCACGGGCCCATCCCTCTAGAGCCTGGGGTGGGCAGCGCCGAGAGTCCCTTGCTGGAGCCCAAGGAAGCCGGGCACCTCGAAACTTATACATCCTGAGCCCAGGCGTGGAACCAGCCCCCGGGGCGCTTTGCCGCAGGCCTCTCTGAACTCCACACTCGTGTGCCAGCTGCGTGTGTCCAGAGATTTGGGACGGGGTCGCTGCTCCTGGTCCCTGCTCACCTGAGTTTCCGTGAGGCTGAGGCTGTGCGCCAGCTGCTTCCTCTCGGCGCCCACTACGTAATGGTTCTTCTCGAAGGCGTGTTCCAGCCTCAAAAGCTGGGATGGGGAAAAGGCGGTTCGGATCCGCTTCGGCTTTCGGGCCAGCGCGTTGTGCAAAAGAAAGCTCTCCGGACTTGTGTCGTTCCCTGCGGGGGGACACAGCAGAAGGCCCGTTAGAGAAGGCCGTCCCCGCCGGCCGCGCGCTGGCTTCTTCCGAGCCGGGCTGCCGAGGCGTGGCGCGCGGGGCCTTATCCTCGCCCGCTGGGCTCGGCGCGTGAGTCGGTGGCCCTCCCGCCGTGCGCGAAGACACCGGCCCAGCAGCCTGGCCGGGGCCGCCGGGCCCTACCCACCCAGCAGCCGTCCCCACGGGCCGGTCCCCAGGCTCCGGACCTCCGCGGGCTCCGCAGCCGCCCTGGCGCCACAGAGCTCGCCACCTCCGCGCAGGGCGCGCGGGGCAGAGGAGGGGCCGGCCGAGCTGGACCGGTGACTGGCGCCCACGACCCAAAGAAACTGCTTTCTCTTCTTTCTAACCTCTCGGGGAAACTCTGACCCCGGGGTGGCGAGGTGGCGAGCCGCTATCCAGTTTTCTCGAGGACTTATTGGTTAATTATTTCTCTCTCCCCTTCTCTGGGCTGCAGGGGTGGCAGCCCGGCCGAGACCGAAATCGCTTCGTTTCTGCCGCCGCTGCCTCCTGGGGACCCGGTTCTCCTGCTGCCCCGCTCCAGAGAACTGGCAGGGATCGAAAGCCAGGGGTGGCCGCGCTCCGGGCACCCAGGGGGGCTGTGCGCGGCCCGGAAGGTCCCCGCGACTCCAGGCCGGGCGCGCGGGCCGAGAGCGTGCCCGGCGGAGAACGAGCAGAGGGCTCCCAAAAGTTTGCGAGCAGAGGCAGAGAGTTTCGGGTTCACTCATGAAGGGTGGGAAATCGATTCACCAAAAACCCACACAAAGAAAAACAAACGACAGTTGGGGCGGGAACGGAGGCAAATCTCGTCCGGGAATAGAGGCGAAAGGTTGTTTTTGTTTTGTTTTGTTTTTTAAATTGGGGGGTGTGGTGGGCACCTTCCCGGCTCTGGGTTCTGGCAGGAATGCAAAGGGTTAAAGAATGGACAAGCCTCCAAGTATTGATCGGCTGCCGCGGGAGGTAGGTCTTTCCCCGGCTCTGATCCCCAAACTAATTACTCGCCCCATTTTCTGGAGTTTTATCGTTTCTCCCACCCCCACCCAGAGGGGGCCCAAACCCCATTTTTTAAGTAGCAAGAAAATAACCCTCAAATACATCTCCCCCTGCCCGTCTCCTGACCCGATTCTTTTCCTTTAAAAGAAAAATATAACCCAAAACAAAAACAAAACCAGACTGAACCTGCCTTCCCGCCGCGGCCGATCAGCGCCCAGCTGGAGCAGGTCGTGGCGAGAACCGAGCCCGAAGCTTTCCACCCGCGCGGGTGTCCGCCCCTTCCCGGCCCTCAAAAATAAAATAAAAACAGAGGAAGGAAAACAACCACCTCTAGACTTTTCTCCGGAGACAGAAGGGTCCCCTCGCCGCCCAAAGAGGGTTCGAAAACTGAGCGGGCGCGGGTCTGCGCGCAAGGGACGCGGCGTGGGTGGCGAACAGGGGCGAACGCAGTCGGAGCGGCCACCCCGGCGGCCGGGCCCTGCGTCCGCGCCTCCGGCCGGGGCACCGCCGGGAGACGCGAAGCCGGGGCGCGCCTCGGGCTCCGGGGCTCCTCCGCGGGCGGGCGCCGGGCAGGCGGCCCCGGCTGGTCGCCTCCCCCCGAGCGCGCGCGGGGACAACTTCCCTGCAGGCGCCCCTGTCCAAAGGGCCCGGCGGGCGCAGGCCGCTCCCCCAGGCGGCCGCAGCTCGGGGCGGGGAGACCCCCGCGGGGCCCGGCCCTTCGCTCCCGCCGCCCGGTTGCCGCGGCCAGCGCGCGGGTCGCGCGCGGAGCCTCCACGCAGGCCTCGCCCCGCGCCCACCCCGGGCAGGCCGAGGGCGGCGCGCGATGCCGGCGGCTGCCGCCCCGCGACGTGGCACCTACCTTGGAAGCGGTGGCCCAGATAGCGGTAGCGGTGGATGAGCCAGGGGTAGAAGGTGGACGGGTCCCGCTGCTGCGAGGCGAAGAGGGGGTGTGGCGAATGCGAGGAGGGCAGGGGGTGGGCGGCCAGGGCGTGCGGCGGCGGCACCGGGTGCACCGGCACGGCGGGGTTGGGCGGGTGCGAGACCGCCTCGGCGAACACCAAGTCCGGGCTGGAGTAGACGCCCCTGCCGGCGGCGGCCGAGTGGAAGCCGTTGAGGAACGGGTTTATGGGGCTGGAGTTGGCGTAGCTGAGCGCCGCGGGCGGATGGGGTCCTCGGAGCGGGAGGCGGGCAGGGGACTGTCCTTGGCCACCAGCGACTCGATGGTGAAGCAGCGCTTGGGCGCCGGCTGGAACATGCTGCGCCGAGGGGCGCGCGCCCGGGGCTCCCGGCTCCGACTCCCGGCGCGCAGCCTGCGCCGCCCGCTGCCCGCGGCGAGGACGGTGGAGAATTGGGGACTTGTTTGTTTGGGGTGGGGGTGGGGGGAGGGAAGGGAGAAAGAAAGGAAAGGAGAGGAAAAAGGACAGGAGGGGGCGGGGGGGAGCCGTAGCGCGGAGGAGCCCGAGAATCCTGCACCAAACGCGCCCAACCTGGAGCGAGGGGAAAAATCCTTCCAGAAGAATTTGCAGGCGTGGATTGTGGGGTAATTTTTTTTTTTTTTGCGAGATGGCGTGGGGGGATCGGAGTTAGAGGCAGGGAGGAGAGGGGGGGAAAGTTTCCCGGGGGAGGCAAAAAAAAGTTTTCTCTCCTCTGTAAAAGGCGGGCAGGGCGCCCTAAATCCAAGGACAATCCATGGAAGTGCTCGCTTCTTCACAAGTTGTGCAAACGATTTGTTAGTTCATGAGCCTAATTAGTGCGGGGATCACATAAACAGCTTCCTCCGAAGCCTGGTAAATGGCTTGATGATTGGTCGCTATTACTCGCCCCGAGGTGGAAGGGGGGAGACTCTTTAAAGTGCGTCATAGGGAGGCGAGCGCCTGGGAACCCGGAGGCCTGGATCCGCGCCGAGAGTGGAACGGAGTCGGCGCCGCCGCCTGGGCCGAGCCTCCCGCCGGGGCCGCCCGCCCGCCCGGTGCCTCCGCGCCCTCGCCCCGCGCGCCCGGCCCCGCGCCCCCGCGCGCCCGCGGCGGCCGCTCCTGCTCCTCCTCCTCGCGCCTCCGCCTCTCCCCCCCCCCGCCCCGGCGGCTTCTCCTCCTCCTCTTCCTCCCCCCGTCTCCCCACCTCCTCCCGCCCGGCCGCCGCCTCCTCTCCACCACTCCCTCCGGGGCACCCCTGTCCCCGCAGAGCCCGGGCCGGCGCCGCCTCCGCGCGGCCCCCAGGATCCCGGACCTGCCGCGCCCCAGCCGGCGGGGCCGCGGGACGGACGGACGCGCACGCCCCGCGCGCCTCGAGCTCGGCCGCGGCCGCCCCCGCGGCGGGGCGTCGGGGCGCCGGACGCCGGGAGCCGCGCGCGGGGAGCGGGCCGAGGTCGCCCCCGCAGCCGGAGCCCAGCCGCGCGGCCACCGCAGCCCCCACCCCGGCGGAGCTCCCGGCGCTTCCCGCGGTGAGGAGGGGGCCCGGGCGGGGCGGGGGGGTCCTCCAGCCGCTCGGAGGCGCGCGGTCCAGGGGCGCGGCGCGCGCGATCCTGCGCCCAGCGGGCGCTTTCCCGGCGAAGAACCGAGCCGCCCACCCTGCCGGGGCCTGGGCTTCCTGCTGGCCCGGTTCTGGCCCCGCGGGCTCGCGCTGTCTCGGCCCCCGGGGTGGGGGGGGGGTGCTCACCTCCTCCCCCCAAAACAATTCCCTCTGTAATATCTGGGGCCGGGCGCGCAAGGTCAGGCGAGAGCCGGCTGTGCTGTTGCCACTGTATTTCCGTCGTCGATATTATTTTGGTCAGCTGTCATTGTGGTTATTGTGGCGTTATCATTACTACTACTGCCGCTGCCAGGACTCTGCCATCTGTCGTCCCAGCGGCGGGTTGCTGGGCAGACCCAGGACTCGCAACTGGGGACGGCAGGGCGCGTCTCCGGTCCCGGGCCCTGTCCGCATTTTCAAGCTCGCCTTCGGTTTTGGGATGATTTTAGGGCCCAGTTCCCTCGTCCCCATTGGCTCAGGCAGCGGCATAATTATGATCACATCCCCCAGGCTGCTGGCGCTGCTCTCTGTTTATTGGTGGTTAAAGATCTATTATCTATTCATCAGCCGCCTCTTTTTTTTTTCTTTTTGCCAATTACATTCTTCTAAAGTGAAGTACCAGCAGGTATTTTGCACGTTTACAATTAAAAAAACCTGGCGTCCTTTAAATCTATTACTCGAAGGCCCAAATCGTTTCTCCTATGGACGGAAAAATGCCTGTATTCGGTGACTAGGTTGCCGTGGGATCCGGAAAAGTGGATGGAGGCCGTAACATCACCACCATCATCAGTTGGGGCCTGGGTGTGAGGACACCCCCCTTTCTTCTGCTTCCCTGCTCCTTTCTCAGGGGCCTCCCCCACCCTCTCTGGTTTACACTGCTTTGTATTTCTGTTCGTGTCCACTTCCCGACTTCTTTCTTCCAGGTTTGATGTTGTATTTGGGGGAGGCCCAAAAATGCCTTTGGGAATGCCCTCAAGACAGGAGATGAGTTAGGGGTGCGTTTTCCGAGCCTACCTGGATGTCTGGCCTTAGTGAGGGCAGAAGGAGACCCTCGGTGCTCCCCCCAGCCTTCCTGGGCACACACACAGATACCTTCATCCAGTCACTCACTCCACAGGTGTGGGCCTCTGCTCCGCCATCGTGCCCAGGGAGAACCACCTCTGCCTCAGGTTGCAGAGCTCTGATGCCCACTGGGCAGGGGCGGTAGCCAGGTTTCTACACTTGGTGGGCTCTTGTGTCCTGGGGGGGCGGGGAGGGATTCTTTTTCCCAGGCTCAGGGATAGAGGGTGTTCAGCTACAGCTTCTTGGGGAGATGGGGTATATTTGAAGATGCACCTCCCTGTACTTGAGCCATGGACCTCCAGAAAAATATTTTCTCCAGCTTGGAAGTTTCTCCCTCTGTGAGACTGTAGGGACAGAGCCTAGCCATACTGAGGTGGGCAGGGAATCTGAAGCCACCAGGGAAGGTGGAGGTCTTTTGGCTGTGCCACCTGCCAGAGAGCCTGAGAAGGGAGGTTGAGCCCTGCATTTCCTAAGCCAGAAAGAAACACCCAATTTAGGTAGGCTGTAGATCCCAGATCTTGGAGCAAGAGGGAAGGGCTCCCTTCTCCTGGAAGGCTCCCAAATCGCTTTCAAGCCAGGCCCTTTAAAATGGGCCTGAGACTCTAGATCAAAACCTGGGGGCACTAGAAGCCCTGCCTTGGCACAGGACAGGGGATGACCTTCCACTGCATGACTGGTACTGGTGATCTTGACTGGGGTATGATGACCTTGAGGGCAAAGGAGAACCAATCACTGATGAGAGGTGGGACAGGGGCCCCCCACTGTATCTTATATGCAAAGATATGTCTCCTCTTTGAAAACTCTCAGGCTGAGTACTAAGGTGTCTTTCCCTCTTAAGCCCTTTTGACCTGAATGCATCCAGTATCCCTCAAGGACCTGCCAGTCAGTCTCCTGCTGGTGACAGGTACTTTGGGCCTGCCTGAGATGCCAGGCTGTCCCCTGCCAGGCAACATCCTCTGCAAACCACAACCTTTGCAGACTGCCCTGTGAGGACTAGGTTTGCTCCAAGGCCTCTAGTGCGGCAGGCAGCAGGCGGGCCAGGGAGAGGGAACAGGGTCTAGTGGGTGCCCTCCTGGTGGAAGCAGGGCTTGCCAGTTTCTCTGGCCCATGGGCGCCACTGACCCCGACTGTCACTGTGTTCCCAGAGGTGGGTCTCCAGTGAGTCAGGGACCCTGAAAAGTTCTGGGAGCCTTGTAACCTATGCTAATTCAAGCGCTCTAACCTGAGGAGTTCGGGAAGGTTGGAGCTGCCAGGCCTATGTGAGGGGAAATTAACTAGAAGAGTGATTCATTAACCAGATTGCTTGGTGGAGGTGGGCCAGGGCACTTGGACCCAGAGCCGCATCTTTGACCAGGAGGGAGGCTGCCACTCACTTTACTCATGCTTTTGGGCTAATAATTTGGGTCTCTCTGGGTCTCTTAGCTGCCCTTAGACAGGTGGGTGTATGGTTAAGTACCTGTGAGTTCAGTGGGGGGTGGGGAGATTTCTGAGGCTCCATTTAGAGCAAGAGGTTCCCAAGTCATGTGGTTTAGGCTGTGTAGACTCAGGATTCTCCTTTCTGCAGGTAGAAATGATGAAGCTTCAAGTCTTCCATCTGGATCTGTCTGGTCTGCGAGCTAGGGCAATACCACAACCTCTCCCAACCTCCATTTTGTCATCTGTGAAAAATGGCCAATGCTGCCCGCCCAGGCAGTGGAGAGTAGGAGGCCAGCCTGTTTGGGGGAGTCATAGAGCCCTTCTACTTCCCGATTGTAGCAGTAATTGCATGTCTGTGTGCATTTTTCCAAACACAGAACTGTACACTGCCAGGATGAATTTTCCTGTATGTAAGTTACACCCTAATGAACCTGCCCCCTCAAAAAAAAAAAAAAAAAAAGAGGAAGGAAGGAATCCAGTAAGGTTTGGTGACCTTGGAAAAGTTACCTGACCTCTGTGTGCCTCTGCTATCTCTTAAAGAAATAGATAACAGCATCCTGGCCCTTGGTATTGTCCAAGGAGATAAGCCAACAAAGTGCATAGACTGTCTAGCACATAATGATCTGCAATAAAAGCGAGCTCCTGTCCTTGATGTCGCTATTATTATCACTTGCCATCTCTAAGGCTTGTCACTGGGTTTCAAGACTGAACAGTAAGTTGGACAAACATCAGCTATTGCTGTTCCCATACTCCTGTCACTAATTCTCCCTCTCCCTTGTTACCCCCAAAGCTGGGGACTTCTGTAGGGAGATATGGGGGTGAGGGAGGCCCCAAAAGGCAGACACTTCTGGGGATTGCCCATCACTCTCTCCTCTGAGTTTCACACCAGGGCCCCTGCCTTTGGAGATGCACAGGGCAGTGCTTCCTCCTCCGTGACTCCTGCCTGGCCCGTGGTCACTGGGGTGGAGGCCTTAAATGCCCAGGTGCAGGATTAGGATCCTACTTGTGTGACCTTCGCCTTCATTGGGGTTTCTCATCAGCGAAAGGGAACTAGCAGCGTGTAAGAGCTGTTGAGAGGAGTGAGTGAGCCGCCGTTCAAGGGATGCTAGTTATTGTTAGGCCATGACCTGGTGCCTGCCGCCCACCTGGCACCCTCCACCGCCTCCAGGTCGCGGCATTGAGGACCTTTCCTTGGGAGCTGGCACTGTGGCCCCGCCAGGCAGCGCGGGTAACGCGGGTCTAAACGAAGGGCGTGCTCTTCTCCGGCCCAAGGCTGGCGGAGGGTCCCCAGATGCCGAGGCCGG